ACATAAATGTGGGATTAACTAAAAGAATCTTTTTTAATTTAGTCATTAACTAATTAAGTTTAACTAAAAAAAACCTTCTTTAATGTGAGATTAATGAGTAATTAATTAAAAAAATGTAACTTCTTTTGGAGGGAAAATGAAAATGTTTTTATTAAATGTTTTATTAAATGAGGTTAGCTAGCAATTATATATATATAGATTTATTATTTATTTAGGAATTTCAAATATATTTTTTATTTTCAAAAAAAAATTAAATGTAACAACAATAATAACATCTAATCACATTATACGGTCAACACATTATGTCATTAATCAAAAGTTTAAAATGATTTTTGTAATTTTGAAGTGATGAGTATTAATTATTTAATGATTGAATGAAAGATTAAATACATCAAAATGTAACGGTTTTTGGAGGGAAAATTGTTAAATTGCCACATAGGTAAAATTAAATAGGTTTTATTAAATTCTATTAGCTAGTAATTATATATATATAGATATTCATGAAATTGTATCCATGTCCTGATTTGCTAGCTGAATAAATTTTGAGGTGAACTTATCATTCTTGAATATAATAGTAGTAATATACAATTTGATTATAAAATATTTAGTCTTTTAAAATAGATTATATAATTAGTTTATAGTATTCTTTGAGCTTATAATAGTTTTATATGAGTGTTTCAGTCGAATCAAATGTATTGAAAAATCGGTTAACTAAAAATCATGGCACAATTTCAAACCAAAAAATTGACGGCCGATTCAGATCGATTATCAATCCACACAACATTATAAAAAAAATTCAATTTTTGAGCCTTACTGAGTTTGTCGTTAACAGACAATTTTTGATGGAATTACTTAAGTCATCTTTATCTCACACTAACAATGACCAATTGGTCCAATTGCTTTGGAAGTCTTTTCTCACATAGCATATTGTATATAATAATAATATATACACATATTGTTTTGTCATGGTATGAAATGTTTTGGAATAATTCGAACTTTTGTATATAAAGCTTATTGAGGTGGTTCCGAATAATTTTGGCCTTTAGTGTGGAAAATAATAAAAGAGATTTGACTATTATTGTATGTTAATTTTCTATGCCAAAAACAAATTGGGCACTTGTTTTTCCACAGCCTGACTCACTCACTGTTTCCCATTGTCTTTTATTGAGTTCCTAATTCTATTCTCTCGAAAAAAGAAAAAAAGAAAAAGATGTATACGTTTTATTAATTAAAACAATAATTAATCTGCATATGAGCTATATATAGTTTTAATTTATGAGCCGAAATACATAAAATTACATAAAAATTATATTTTCAATCCTTAACGAGTGAGCTGACCGCGCTCGGGTTGTTGATTAAACAAACTTGAGTTTGATTTATTTATGAAACAAGTCGAGTTGAGTCGAGTCAAGTTACAAATACTTGTTTCATTTAATATTTATAAAAATTAGAATTCGATGATTTTTAAGTTAAATCTTCAATAATTTACATGCCAATAACGATGTCAAATTAAAACCATCGAGTTTTAATTATCAATAGCAAATAAAATGTGACATCGTCATTGTTTTTTTCTCTGCAATTTTGCTTATAAGATTTGTGTGAGGAAATGAACCCTTATGTAACTCGTCATATAATAAAGTTAAAAAAAAATAAAAATAGAAGTTCAGATCATTATTTAATCTTGGTCTTTGACCAACTTTTCAGGTCCAATTAATGTTACTTACATAAATATACATTTTCGTTTTCTTGGTAAAATATGGGCCAAGAGTATATATGTAAGTTCCTAGCAAGTGTCATATTGACCATATTGTTCAGTTATAAGTTTGGCGAAAAGTTTTTAACTACACATGGGCTCTGATAATTAAATTAGTCATATCCTTTATGACATAAAAAAGATCAAACAAATACAAATCAAAATGAAAATTTAAATTTTCTCAAGGGGCTGAGTGTGAATACGTAAAAGGTGTCAACAGGTGCATGAATCGAGCTTCAATTTATCCTCTCAAATCTCAATAATAAGTAATAAATGAAATAAGGAAAGGGTTCAATGTGTTTCCTCTTGGATATTTTGATCCCTTTTTATTAGTATTACAATGCTTTTAAGTCACTGTCAGAAGTTTTTCTGTCTTTATATGCGAATTTTTCTTATTTATAATTTCATTTTTTCCCAACAAAAATTAAATATGTCTGAAAATTGATTTGTAGGCTTGTAGCTGTGTTTGTGATTACATGAGAAAATATTAAAACAATTTATTTTAAGAGCAATGACTAAGAAGACATCCACAATTCCACTTAATTGCTATATTTGATAAACTAACTAGCTCATAGCTTAAAAGTATAGCAAAATTAACTGATAAATTAGTTAAAATAAAAATTTTAACGAGTTTATATGAAAAAATATCCAAAAAAATTTACGGGATAAGTTCGATTTTTTTTTTTTAAAGCTCGTCCTATGAAACAAATCGTATTTGCATAGAAGAAACTTATAAAGTAACTAAAAATGTTATAAGTTAGTTTTTTGATACTTACCAAACACATTTTAGTTATGATGATTGCCATGACCTCATCCAGTTTTGATATGGGCCTTCAATTGCGGTCCAAAAAATTAGGGTTAAAAGACATAACTGATCACTTTAAAAAATAACATTACATATGGGCAAAGAAAACTGGTCCAAATGCGACGAAAGCGACCCAACTACAAAGTAAGGCCCAAACGACTGTTGGAGCAACTTAAACGGGCCTCTTCCTGCTTAGGCCCATAATGAGAAACCAATTCTATAGAGTGATAAAAGAACGGGAAACACTGGAAAAAGAAAAATAATAAATAAAAGAACGGGAAACGCGCCACGCTGGCAATCTTTACTATCTCTCGATGCAGCTTCGATAAATCTGACCGTCCAATAGAGATCACAAAAGGTATGTGTCCCACGCTGGCAATCCGGGTGAAAAGAAATCCACCAATCAGGTACAACCTCTTTTCATTTATATATATCCTCATCAACTAAATCATTTTTCTCACTCGCATTGAAATTATTATTTTTTTACCCCAAACAAAACGAAAGCGAAATTCCGGCGAAAAACATGAGCGAGAAAACCACCGGAGCAAAGTCCAGCAGCGGCCGGGGCCATCCCAGGTCGAAGGCCGTCTCAAGATCCTCAAAAGCGGGCCTCCAGTTTCCCGTGGGTCGTGTCGCCCGTTTCCTGAAAAAGGGTCGCTACTCCGAGCGCGTCGGGTCGGGCTCGCCGGTCTACCTCTCCGCCGTCCTCGAGTATCTCGCTGCCGAGGTTCTATTGAATTTAAAAACATCCATTTTTCCGAGGGATTTTGCTGAAATCATAGCGCTATTTTTAGTAACATTTTTTTTTATTTGGGTTTTGAATTTCAGGTGCTTGAGCTTGCCGGAAATGCAGCCAGAGACAATAAGAAGACCAGAATCGTGCCAAGGCACATACAGCTGGCGGTGAGGAACGACGAGGAGCTGGGAAAGCTGTTGGGGTCTGTGACGATCGCGAGCGGTGGAGTTCTGCCCAAAATCCATCAGGTTCTGCTGCCGAAGAAGACTGGCGCCGGCAAGGATAAAGGGGATGTTGGGTCTGCTTCGCAAGAGTTTTAGGCTGGATTTTGTTTGATATGTTTAGTGTACTTCAGTTGTGGGTTTTGATTGAGAGCTTTAGTATGTTCTCGTGCTTTTGTGGCGATGTCTTGGTCTGATCTAACTAATGTTCATATGTTGTGATGAAATGAAATTCTACAATGTTTTTTGATTTTAATTTGTNTTTGGGAATCAACAGAATTAATTGATGACCAATCACTTGTTTTGAAATTTTATATGTTTCGATTGGACATACATATCATTTTATGAACACGGTGTAGGAGCTTGAAAAGCATAGTCTAAAATCATTATTGTACCTGTATTTATAATATCATCATATCTTTCTTCATTTATAATATTGGATTAATATTACAATTAAGAAATATTATTTTGGGATAAGAAGTAAACCAAAGAACTGTATGTTTGATTCAATCAAATATGTTATGATCTTATTCAATCTAACATGTTGCTTATTATATAGTAATCCCAAGGTACAATTAGCGGTTAATTGGTTTTTTTTCCACAAAAATAATATGGACAATCACATGCCACATTTTATATGCATTGCATAATTGAAATACATTTTACGCGCACAAATATATTTTGTGAATGTACCTAATAAATATTTTTGTGTGTCATTTATCTCCTCATGCTATTATTAATTCAGATAAGTTGGTGTAAGTAGATTTATACAAACTACGCATATATTTAAAGTAAAATGTTTTTTGGGTAAAAAGTAACATGAGTGTGATTTTACAACGAAACCATTTGCCCAAGAATTTATGTTAGCTATACAAAATCTATGATATCACCATTTTACAAGCTTGAAAGGTTATACATTTCTAGCAAGAAATAACTACTCATATTAAACAAAAAAGCATTATTCCAAATAAATAAAAATTAATTATATAATATTTTATTTTCTCAACCAAATTAGACAACTTAATTGGGCCCATTTGATTTGGTAGGCCCAAATATTTCATTTTCAGGCTCGTAAGCGCGCCAAAACAAACAAATAGAAAAAATTCAAAACCCATTTTCCCATGTTCGCTCCAAAAAATAAAATTCAACTGCCACGCTGGCAATCCTCGCCTTCCTCCTCTTAACCAATCACAATCAAGCATCAATATCTATAAAAGCACTCTCCTCCGGCTTTATTTCTATCCCTTGCTCTCTACAGGAAAACACAATCTTGTCTTTATTTTTACAAAATTCAAAATTCCCTTTCCCTGTCAGTCAAAAATTTTTAGATCCCTGCGAAAAAAATGAGCTCCGCATCCACCAAAGGCGGCCGTGGCAAGCCCAAATCGGCAAAATCCGTTTCCCGTTCGTCGAAGGCTGGCCTCCAGTTTCCCGTCGGCAGGATCGCGCGTTTCCTCAAGACCGGTAAATACGCCGAGCGCGTCGGAGCTGGTGCGCCGGTCTACCTCTCCGCCGTTCTTGAATACCTTGCCGCTGAGGTAAATCTCTCAATCCGCCGTCAGTTTCTTCGATTTTTATAATTTCAGCTGCCGTGCTTTTATTTGTTTCTATGTTGTTTGATTTCGGGGATCTGAATTCGTATTTGTTGCACTGTGTTATTAGGTTTTGGAGCTTGCCGGTAATGCTGCGAGGGATAATAAGAAGAATAGGATTGTGCCAAGGCACATTCAGTTGGCGGTGAGGAATGATGAGGAGCTGAGCAAGCTTTTGGGGCATGTGACTATTGCCAACGGTGGTGTTTTGCCCAACATTCACCAGACTCTTTTGCCGAAGAAAGCCGGAGGGAAGGACAAGGAGATTGGGTCGGCCTCGCAGGAGTTTTAGGGTTCTTCTTGGCCATTGTTTAGATGGCTTGGTTAGTTGGTATGGTTTTGTATAGGGTGTGATCTTTCCTTTTTTTCGTAATGCTGGTTTATGTGAAACTCTGATTTTGAGATCCGAAATATTTAATTTGGTTATGGATTTAACTTGTTCTGGTTATAATTTTTGTTATGGTGATGGTTTAGTATCTTCTCTGGTATAATTTTCACTTGAAAGTTACTTTTTTGGTAAAGTTAGTTTTTTTCTTGATCAGGATTATATGAACGTGGTTTCATGTGAGATGTTAATATCTTGTGGTATTCTCCTGCTTTTAGCACATTATTTTGGTGTCATTTTGGCTTCTTCCTCATTTCCTTAGTTTTGTTCATTGTTCTTTGTCCATAGTGAGTTGTGTGATCAACTTTGAAACATATTTTGTTGCCCTATAAGTTTTAGTAGCATTGACTTGTAACAAATTGTTTCTAAATTATGATCTGTAATATTTTGTTAAAGAGACTCTCCTTCGGAGAAGGGCAATTTTTCCTTGGTAGATAAGAGTGAATGTTATAACTAAATTGTAGTAGACATTCCTCAATTTTGTGCAAGAAATAATATTGTAAGTTTATTTTACGGTAAAGCAGTATTTTTCTTGATCTAGATATTATTTTCTTATTCTTAGCTCATGAAATTGGTTTCATTCTGGGTTTGCTCCTCAGATCCTTGGTTTTGTTAATTTGTACATAGTGAGGGGTATCATCAAACTTTGCATCATATTTTCAAGTGAGCTGATGAACACTTGAAGTACATTTCACAGATTTGTTTTGTTTTGTTTTGTTTTTCCTTGTGGTTTTAGCTGCCTTTGTTGGTATCAGTTTAATACTAAATTAAGAAGTGTTATTCGTTGCAGGAGAATTTCTGCAGAGGAACTCAAGTTGATGAATGAATGAATATTCTATGTAAATTGCTCTGTTTTGAATTAGGCATTGACAAAGAATGTAATGACACCATGCCAGCTCCTATAATTTTCATATGATGATGTCACGTCTTGTTCAAGGAGAAAACCTACATTATGTAAGGTTTTAAATTGAAGATGAGGCTAGACTAATGAAACAACAGACTGCAGATTGTCCGTTTGATTTCTTTGGCTGTGGTTTACTATCAAAGAACTCGATAGTAACTAGTTTTTTTTCGATGAATTGTGTTTTCAGTAACTGAACCAATTTCATCTGTTATTACATTATACATTATTACAGATCTCATTTCTCCAGAGTCTCCTACACCAAGCCAATCTTCTTGTGTTTTTACATCTTGATCTTGGGAACTTGCTCAAATGGTAGAGCGCTTGCTTTTGCATGCGAGAGGCACAGATTCGATCCCCCGCATCTCCATTTTTTGTCTGAATTGTACTGAACAACGAAAGCAAATGTAGAAGATTTTTTTCTCTAAAAAGTAGAAGATTTGGTAATAGAGTTTGTATTTCCATCTCATCCAATCTCAGCATTAAAATTCAACCTCATTTTTCCTCCCACGAAAGTTTGTTCAGCGACTTCTCTTTGTCCTGGGGCTTAAAGGATTGTATTTTCTTGTTAATTGTTTGGAAATTCAATTATTCTTCTCATTATTTTTTTCGTAACTGATGTATAGTAAATTTCAATTTAGGCTGTTCTTGAATGAATTTCATCTCTACTTAAAAACCTGGTAGCATTGAACAATACCAATGTCAAATTCATACTCTTGAAATAAAA